TCCATTTCACAATGTGTCATTATCCAATCAATTTCATATTGGTCACTTTGATGAAGAACATTGTTTGCTTTAACCTTCCTACACACTACTTAGCAGGAGAAGTCCCATTTTTGTGAAGTTTGATTCTGAACACATATCCCACATACAGGAATATCTCTTTCAAATTATCTCTCAGTAAATTAATCCAGAAATGCCTTGTAAGCACTAAGTAGTTTTATTAAGTCACTTAATTCATTCCTCTTTAGGAGCTAACTTTTGACGGTCTTAAGTACATATGTACATGGGCCTTTAAACAAACTCTGGGTGAAACTTAAGACAACTTTTATACATGTAGAACTAACACTGCAAGAGCAAAATTCTTCTAATTCCTTTTGCTAAATTCCGAGCTAATGATCTTGGTTTATTAGCCAAGGAAAATATTGACTTTGTTTGGGTACAACAACTTGAAGTGACCCAGATCTAAAAGGTTGACAGGTTTTTGTTATTGAATATAGAATAAATATGCCATGCAGAGAAGAAAATGAGAAAAACTGCAGCTTTTAAAAGCAATTGAAGGTTTTTGAAAGTTGTGACAATTTATATCAGTTTAAATTTGTTTAAGATTGTAAATGTGTTTTGTTGGGAGAATTTAATAAATATTTAATATTATTTTGAGCATAAAGAATTTTTAATAATGTGATGTATGTATTTAATCTTATAAACAAGATAAGAAGCCATTGCAATGCAATAATTCTTCTGATAATCCACTAGGAGTAAAGGAAAAAAATCCATTTAATACTTGTTCATTTTATATACGAAAATACTGATGTTAAATATTTATAATGAATTCAGAGTTGGAAGATGTTGTTAAGTACATGTACATATGTACCGTAATATATTTAGTTATTTTGTTCATTTCCTAAGTTTTTTTAAATCTTCATTTTCTTAAGCAAGAAAATAGCCAAATATGGTATTAAATGAACAAGATTCATGCGTAATTTCATTTCCTTCGGGGATTCACAAGGTTGAATTTCGTCATATCAATATTTGATTTAAGCATTCAGTCCAATATGAACATCCTACGACTTAAAACTCTTTTTCCTGTCATTTATTAATATATTGAAGAGGTTTGCTGACGTTACTCCTTCCACCTACATGTTATTTCCTTAAAAATTTTAGCATACCATCCATTTGTAGTTCTTAATTGGGAAATCTGGAAACCTGATCCTGGGATTTTTGTATGAATGAAATTTACACCATTTATTATTGTTCTTTGTAAGAGGGTACAATAAGGAATGAGCTATGAGGTATATTTTTTTTATTGAGTTGTAGTTTGTCTACTTAGTCGTCTCATATAATCAATAGAATAGAAGAAACCTGTAGATCAATAATTATTGTACAGAACATCAATAATATCATCTAACTCTTTATTATACCACCACACATACACTTCATCATCTATAGTGCTATATTAAAACATCTCACACAGGCATAAACACAAGTACATGTAGTGCTAAAGTAGCATGCTGTGGCAGAGCCAGTAAGTAGGGGAGCCTATCAACGAACTTGATAAAGGACCACTTTTAGAGTTCAATGTTTCCTGGAAGAGGTAGAACATTTTTAGGGGTGAAAGAGGGTCATTTCTCTGTTGAAATGGACAGCTATCTATAATCAGGGTGGAAATGTTTAAAACTAAAATATTTTAATACTGAGAGTTGTCTATGATCTGTGTAGACATATTAAGTGCATGTATTAGAAAACTTTAATATTAAAATATTTTGTTAATATGGAGATTATTTATAATCAGGCTATAAAATCTGATATTAAAACGCCGGCCAAAATGGAGAGGCATTTCTTTATAAGCAAGACAGAAATATTTAAACGATTCGTGTTAAATGGCTTCATCCAATCTACATCCAATATTTCAATTCAATTGCCCAGTTTATAAATTATAAAACCAAAGCAAAAAAAAGATATGTGGTTTTCCAATACATCATAGAACAGTAAGTTATTCTTCTTAAAAGTCTATGACTACAAGAAAACTGATCAACAGTAATTAAGAATAAAATAATTTATCCAATAAATGACATGTTGATAAATATTCATGTAAACTATAGTTTATATATCACCATATTATACTATCATTAATATAATGAATTATAAATTTACTGTTATCTAGGATTGTAACAGATGAAGCCATTGACTGAATGTAATTTAAATTATTCTGAGTCATCAATAACTTTCCAGTAGGCTACACCATGTGTCAACGATCTTTAATTCACAATTTAATCTTCAAAACTAGGAAAGTCTATATAAATGGAAAAATAAACTTTTTCAACCCTTTTAACATGGAATTATTTTGAGCCCTGGTATTCTAAATTGCTAAGCATGTATGTGTATCTCTAAAACCAAATAAAATTCCAAAAGGATGCTTATGTTCTTTGATTCAGCAAACCCTGCAGATTTCATTCATAAATAATGAAAATATCATAGAAATGTTGGGTTAATCATTTGAATCTACTGAAGTTGTTGCCATGTAAAATTCTGAGATACATATGTACAGTACCTGAGGACATCAAAACAGCAATATGTGTATTAACAAATTGTATTTCAAACATTGACTTTAATTTATAATTGAGTGTAGTTTATAATTAACATCAGTAAATTGTAAACTTGTACACCAGTATAATAATTCATTCTGTCTTTTATGTACAGTTTAGTCAGTCATTCTGGGATTTTGAAATGTCACTTACTCATTCAAGGTCTGTTTGAGATTTTTTTTTCAAAAGAATTTTGTAACACTCTGTTTACTGATTTCTCAAAATACATGGTAGGTGGGCTGGAGTGTGATTTTCTTCATCAGAGAGGTGTTATACAGGTGATCCAAAGACTAAACAATACAAGCTCTTACATAATGGGGTTACTGCTTGGTAATGCCCAAGGCTTAGTCAATCTCCAAACAATAACAAAATACAATTGGTTTAATCAGTCTCAACGAGCTCAGATCTCGATCAACTAGCACTTAGTTTATAAATCTCAAACAATAATGGTCTGACTTTGTATTTTGTGTTTTGTTTCTTTATTGAAATCACCCCTAGGAGAGCCTGAAACTTTTTCAGCCATGCGGAAATCGTGTTATTTTTTGCACATTAACTGTTGCATTTTAGGCTAATAGCTTTCTGGACTTTGTTGTCAATGACAGCAATATGTAATTAAATATCTTTGAAGATGAGCAGGTAATCTACATGTCTCGTTTTATGAGTGTTTTGATGTCTGTTAACAATGAGCTGGTGTAATTACTCTAATGGCCTTCTCATAACCAGGTTTCATAATATATTATAGCTATTGAATGGTTCTATTTTTATTTTTTCAAAATTCTGATCTGATTGATCTGAACTAATTGCTGTAGGACTTCCAGAAATCAAAATGTGTGGTAACAATTTTTCAGTTGTAATCATAGGGATATCTGCATTTTCAGTTATAAGTATAAGCTTAATGTATTTTAAATCTTATTCCCTCCTTTTCAAATAAGCTGGGGAGATCTTCTCTTCAGATCATCTAATTTCAATTTCATGTGGGGTAAATTACTGAATTAAACCAATAATTTATAGGTCATGAACTCCAAATTTTATTTAGAAAAGAAATAAGATAGGTAATGTCCCTTAATTTAAAGGTAAAGAAAGGATATTGTAAGAAAGAAGTGAAGCAGTAGAAGAAACTTAAGAACAATACCATGGCCTACTTTATACTTATGTTAACCTCCATACAGGTAACATTTACATAGATCTATAAATAACTTGACTAGACAGCTTACTACCTGTTATATTCACAGATCAAAACCAATACTATTAAATCCAACCTACTGAATACACTTTATCATCACATCCATTTGAGGAGCTCACCCCTGTTAAGGATTTTATTACCCTTGGCTGTGCCCTTTTACCTCTTCCAATTATAAACCATGATATATTTACATATATTCAACAATAGTCAAGTGCAGTAAAATAAAACATATTGTCTTTTTGTTACATATTGTAAAATGAACATTTAAACAAATTAATATTTTAATAACTTGACAATCCGGAGTGATCATAAAAAAAAATTGTCTTTTTAAACAAAGACTATAAAAATTATATAATTAATCAATTGTCATAAAGAATATTCCGAAGGCAAAAGATTCACATAAATCCATATATTTTTGTTCTTTACGGACTAATCTTTGTCCTCCATGTGAAATGTGAAATAGAAAATTACCATACATTAAGTGTATTATGATGTCAACCTTTGCCACACTGACCAACATTGTCATGGATAAAAGGCTTAGACTTCTAGCCCTTGACAACCATGTGATCTCTTACTGGACATGGTGTAATAGACACACACATATCTCATGATAAAAATAAACCTGATGTAAGTTTAAACAAGCAAACATTATTAAAGGCCTTACGAAAAGCTCCAACATTAAACTAATACATGTAAAGTAATATCTGATCTGTATGTTTGACATTTGTGTGTTGTATTGTCATTTAAACATTTCTTTCTATGCAGAAAGGCCCAAAGGGTCATTTGCATAATAACATTTTGGACAGGAATGCTTCAAAGTGTACATTATGTAACATTGTCTCTTTTGTACTTTACAAACATTAAGATTTATTTCCTATACAAAATGAGGATTAAATCTTTGTCCAATATTGTTATAATTTGAAAGCCGTCAAAAATCTATACATGTGAGAGTATGTCAGAAATGAATTAATACAGATTTTGATCATAGAATTTTCAGTTTTTATAAGAAAACAAAGAAAACAGTTTTGTAGTTAATGCTCACATTTGTTTTTGGGAAGACTATTTTAGAGGTTGCAGATGTGGGGGTGGGGTTCATTTATAACCTAGCCTGGTACATTAACAGTTTCTAACTTCACCCACTCCCCTATTTTCACAGATCAGATACCATCTTAAACCTATAATTATACTATTGAATCTTATACAATGTCAAATAAGGTACAAGCTACACTGAAAATTACCTTCATATTGTTGGTGTTTATCCATTAGAAATTTCTTGAGAAAAGCAGTTCCAGAATGAAGACTATCGGTTAAATATTTATTAGCAGCCACATGGTATTTTTCTACGGTAGCATTGGCACAACACAGCCTTTGACCAGGGTGTTTCAAACCCTTCCCACATACAGCTAAGTGGGCAACTGAAAAATAAAAAATCACCATGTTACATGTATATAAGATTGACAATAAAATAGGTTATCCAAAGGAGGACACAGCTTATCGGAACTAAAATAATACAATATATTTACTAAAAATCTGTAAAATGGCCCTTTTTGGGTGATTATTTGATGTTCTTTAAGGCATTGTCAAAAATATGTTCTTTGTCAGCACTATTCCAGCCAATTTATGTAATGTTTTTGAAATTCATTTTAAAACTAGACTGACAAGTTATTAACAATTATTCCTGGAAATCTGAGTTTTACTACATTACTTGTAAGATAAATAAATATGTTTACAGGTATTTTAGTGATATGTTAATACTGCACATAATAATCCACATCAATAGGTCAATATTATACAAAAGGTGTGTATCACTCACATGTACAATGTACAAGTTATATACAATACTGTATAAAGTAATACAAAGCATTTTTCTAGACAAGGTAATCAAGGAGATTAGGCCCTACAGACTTAATAATAAATCAATTGTACGAATATCAAATAAGATACTGATCCAGATATTATTCAAATTGATTAATTCAAACTTACATATGTGTATAACTACCTAACATAAATAAATGTCTTATATTTCTACTTCATTTAGTTTTCAGTCTAGAACAAAATGTAGGTCTTTTTTGTCTGTTAGTAATTAATTTTATTCATTTTCAGAAGGCAAATTTATTAAAGTGGAATGCACCTGTATACAGAAAACATTAATGTATAATCCATTTCATTTTTTTCTGACATTACCGACACAGTCAATTTATCAAAAGTCACTGAAAACAATATATACATGTACGCCTTGAAAAAAAAAACAACACCCTTGAAAACATGTAGTTGACCTCACAGAAAAACCCATTCATTTCATATCTTAAAAGGCAATTACTTTACATATTATTTAGATAATTCTTGGAAGGACGTGACAATTTAAATTTAGCCTAGTAGATAGATGTGCACCTGTATTTTCTTACATTATAATTAAGTGCATACCATTTATACACGCATAGTTCACATGTCGTTAAAAATGTCGCCACGAACAATAAAGAATAAAAATAATGATCAGTTTGAAAAGTCATTGTAGATGTCAAAAGTCTCTTAATAAGTTTGTGTTAATACTCTCAGCCTGTATTTTATGTTCCTTACTGGTAAACACCCAGTTTAAATTACATTTCAGTACATCATTTTGATATATTAGGACCATGATATAATTTCCATGCACATGTGTTATTTGCACTCAAAGTCAAATATGATCCTGAGATCATGAATTCATTCATATTTGAACACTTAACGTAATTCAATATTTGAAAAAATAATATATAATTCATATTAAGTTTTTAGATTATAAGAGGTTTGTGAAACTTGATATGCCACTTCATTGAATAAACCATCTATTTTTCATTCATGACACACATTAGACATGGTGTGAAGCGTGAAAAGTATCTGAAATTTGCAACAACACTCAGGAAACACATAAAACAATTGGTTCATTGATATACGGTACAATACATGGTAGTTGTTCAGTGTGAAGTAGGCATTTCTGAGATCATACATGTTCAGTATTACATGTATCAATGTAATAATGTGTCATCTTCAATTGTAAACTTAATGTTACAATTTATATATTATTAGCTTACTGTGTCTTCATTTACTACATATTAGAGATTGGTTGTGTGGTGGATGATTCGTGATGCTGCTAATATTTGTTACTGTCATTTGTTTGTATGTCCTGGGTTGGCGGCTACACTAGGGTTGTTCCCAGGCTGAAATTTGGTGTATATGGGTAACTCAGGCCGGGGAGTAATATAGGCCTGGTGGCAATGGGCTACCACTTCTGGTTTCAGATTTACGCTACTTCCGGTTCATGGCTATACCCATGTTATGTTGGGTCAACCGCTAGTTAATCCACTGGTTTGACTGGAAGTTCTGGCAAGACATTATGCAGCTGAAATGTGATTTGTGGCATGGTTGTAGGCTTGACATTTACAGACTAGGAAATTTACAAAGGCCATAACAATTTTACTTTACAATGAAACGTAGGCACAAGTGGTAAAAAAGAACAAAAGTCAGTAACATAAACTCTGTATCCACCACTAGCCCAGCTACTCAAGCCATGCAAGTCACATGTTCCTGAAGCAACCACTGTGAGTTTCACAACATCTGGCCGTTGCCGGACTTATAGCTATGTTATCTACAGACACGTGAGCAGTAGCATCCAATCAGAGGTTGTGACATCGCGACCTCCACGGAAAGCTTGACATTGAATGAACCTTGAACTTTGCAACTCGATTATCACAGGTAGACATTTTAGCTTGAAAGGGTGAGACTTGGTATTCGCAACGATCGAGGAATCTGATGGGCTTGTACCCAATCGAAATTAGTGCCACAATATGCAGGGTATTACGTGAAGGCCTTGATAAGATATATGTAGTTAAAGCGAGATCAAGCCTTCTATTGAAGATGTGCAAGTCATAGCATGGAGGAGATAAGCCTTTGAATGGTTCTTTGTGAGACCCTGTGTCACCCTTATTGCAATGTTGCTTCCAATCGTTCATGCCCTCTTGAAATAGAATTATTGCAATACACATTATTGGAATATCATTGTGTCTTCCATAGAATTATACGAGTTCTACTAAAAGACACATTTTATACCTCATGTCTTCCTAGTCTGCACCATAAAAATCCTGATTTGTAATGTTCCCATTCTGATAATAAATTTGGGTGTTTGAGGGAATTGATCTAGTGTGTTATTGTTGTGATCTGATGTTACATTCAGAATTGTGAGATCAAAGTGTACTAGATAAACCTTGCAGAACCTTTTGATCACAATCAGACAACCTCTTAATTAAAAAAAAAAGCCTTTTTCGAAAACCAACTCCGGTGATAGATCTTTTGCAGTTGGTGCTCCAAAGTTATGGAATTCAATATCAAACGAAACCAAAACCGCAAATTCTATTAAAGGTTTTAAAAAGTATCTCAAAACCAAACTTTTTAATCAAACATACAACTAATTGAATACGGTTTTAGCTGTGTTTGTGTCAGACACTTATCATGTTTACTAAATAATGTTCTCTGTTTTATATTTATGTCTTTTTTTATAGATTAATGTATGTATTGTGATAGTTGTAATTTTATATTAGTTGTACTTATGTAAAGCTCCAAAGAGCAGCTCGCTGAGTTGAATTGTCCCTGCTATATAAATTAATTATTATTATTATAGATAAGAAACCTCATCTCTTCCGTGTTTCGAGACAAGAGATAGTACTATATAGATCCAACTGGCAACCCCCAACACTAATTACATTGGGCTTCGAATAAGAAAAATTGACAATTTTTGCTTCAAATCAACTATTGTTTATTGTTATTTATAACATTTCTGTCACATCCAACAAAAATTAAGCATATAATCCTACCTGACATAGATACAAATCCCCTTTATTAAATCGAAGCGATAATAGATGGTTTACCAGAACATTTTAAGTTTGACATTTTTACCTCATTAAGGGCAAGGCAGGGCCTCGTGTACAATAGCCAATCAAAGTACCAACTTGATCCGAGTTGCACAGGACTAATACACCATAATTATGGATGTCTGTATCAATTTTGATAAAAACAACGCTTGATTTACTTTATTGACAATATTCACCAATCTGATTAAAACACAGATCTTATTTCTTTTGGTTTTTTATAGTTCAAAATTTCGTTTTATTTGTCTGTACTACACTAGGATCTGGAAGAGTTGTTATATAACAGGCGTTCTGGATTGAGTGAGGGATTAGCCAATGAAACCATCTGTTACTGGACTTGTTACCGCGACTTCTTGGCGTGCCATGCACAGAACTGTGGGTAAACCACTATAATAGTCAACGCTGATTGTTGAAAATAATGGTCATTGATTATAAATTTTACATTTTGTAACATAAGATGTGAATATAAACAAAACTGACAACTTTATAATACTCTGAGCATAATAGATTAGAAGAAATAAATTAAACATTCCATCTGTAGATACATGATATGTTTGTTGGGTCTAATATTTTATGAGATTAGTCATTTTTCTAACTATCAAGTTTGTGTGGATTTGAAGCTACCATACTTAAGTATTTTGGCTACATCTGTAAATTTATACAAAATACTGGATAAACAGTATAACAAATCTAAAACAAAGGTTAAATTAAAATAAATTGCCAAAAATAAAAATAAAATAATTAATATGTTTTGGTCACAACCTTTTCTAAGCATACACTATCATATTGGGTTATAAAAGGACCTATTGTTTTATAGGGCATTATTTAATAATTTACCTATAAATAATTACTATGTATAATAATGTTCCACATTGTGTATTGGTGCTGTGTTTTGCAGGGTAGTACATATTATGTATATTGCCTGTGTAGTATGTGTGTAATACTGGTGTATTATTATTAGTATTTTATCAGCACATTAAAATAAAGAGTAGCAATAAGAATAAAATAAAACAAATATGATCAATATAATGGTTTCTCGGAAATCATTTGGCCTATTCATACCTATTAATTTATCGGTATATCAATAGTAATATAAATCTAAGTTTTACGATAATTGAAATTTTTACAAATTAGCGCCATCTGCCTTGTTTTTTTCCCTTTCTTTTAAAAGCTTTGGTAACAACGGTGTCTTTGGCAGAACTATTTACTTCTTGTTTCAAAATACTGGCAGTGATGGTAATTTGAGGAAACCGAAAACATTTTGGAGGTTTTCTTTTTCCTGTTCGCCATGGCTAAACAGAAACACTAACATTTATAACATACATGTAGTGTGTTATTTATACATACCATGGTGGGGTTTATCTGGGACAAGATCTCTAACACCAATTTTTAATCGCAAAAACTCCTCTTGAACATTCGCACATGTGTTGTGGTGTATATTTGAGAGAACACTGGCAGGAAAAACTACTAAAGAAAAGCTGAAAATAAAAGCACAGACAACCGACACATTCCATTTGAGAGCGCCCATCATGGCCACATTAGACATATATCAAATCCAAATTAAATGTATAATCCACTATAAATGATATAATTCGAAGACAAAACAAGAAATATAGTATTTCCACTAAACGTCGTTCATTTATTCCTCCCTCAAGCCATAAGCCGACAAGTCACTATGCTTCTGTTGTGTTAGATTGTGAGTAATGCAAAACTCCGCACAGTTTTAGCCGACGATTTCTGATTGGCTTATAATAACATCTGCTATGGAAGTCGGACCGGGTAACAAAATATAATGTGTTTGCGCGTGTATGACAAACCTTTCAACGTGTAGGTGTCAATTGGAGATTGACAAAACACCCAATTCATCAAACCCTTACTTGATCCAATATCAATTGTTATGATAATGAACTCTTTGATACGACTTCTCACCAATGTTGTCTTTTAAGCTTCGATCCCAGCATCTAAATTTAATTACTGTAAATTAGGTCCAATAGACCCGGGCGAAATTATTGTCAATCACTAATCAAATCCCAGACTTGTTTTCTTAAAGCCCCAGAATGCCAGGGTAAATATGAGTTTAAGATGTAGCCTACTTTTATTGAAAATGTATTTTCCTCAAAAAAGTATTCAAATTGACCGGTTCTATATACTTACGTTATGGCTGTTTAAAGTTTACAATTTCATACGTCATCGATGTCTTCGATGAACAAAGTAATACTTATTATTTTTTGTAGAGGCCAAGTCTTCATGAAGGTTTACATATTATATACATATACACTACTGAAACAGTACATTTCTGTTATTTTTTAGATTGGCCACTGTGTAAATCACTTGGCTTGTTGTGGTCTTATGTCTTACGTATGTATTATATTAGTCTATAGAGAACGATACGATTTGTATGATAATGCAAATAAATGATATAATATATATAAAAAAAATCAAATAAAGTTTTATGAGCGAAAAATGCTGATTTTTTAAATACTAAGAATATACATTTTAATCCCCATAACTTCAAACCTTTGAGTGACTATTTTGTAAAGGTACGGAAGAAATGCTGCGAACGTTTTAACGGGTCCAAAATTTCCAATAATAATAATAATGTATATCAACAAAGAAATGGGCACCCGGTCTAATAATTAGGATTTCGTATATTCCCGAAATCGGAATCAGACAGACTCTGATTGTAAATGGAATGGAATTGAATATGCGTGCTTTTCTAAATCTAAAATGGGAGAGAGAGAGAGAGAGAAATGGGGTTAAACGGCCACTCGACACAACCTAGGTCATTTCGGGACTAACATATGGTTTAATTTTATTTCAATAATTCGCTTGCGCGTAGGGGTCTTTAGCAGTGGGAGGACCCGGAGAAAACCCACGAGGTTGAACAGGCGACCCTACTCCTTGTCACGTACAACCGGGGATTCGAAACCACGCCAGTCGACTCAATGACAGATTTTATGATACAGCGCGCGCACGCTAACCATTAAGCCATCCAACCCCCCAAATCTAAAATGGGAGAACCACGATACGCTATTTTTATAATTTCTTACATCTCAGATACAGTCAATGATTTTATTATGAAGATTTAATGCACATTATCCTTCACTTTGGAATAAAATGGGAATGATTTTACGTTATCGTTTTTACTCATTATGAAAGTCCGATGTTCCAAGCATTAAGAATCAATTAGTTGAGTTTTAATGCACATTATGTTCTTCACTTTGGAATAAAGTGGGAATGATTTTACGATATCGTTTTTAGTCGTTATGAAATTCCGATGTCCCAAGCCTTAAGAATCAGTTAGTTGAGATTTATGTTTTAATAAAATTGTTATGTTTGGTAGAATACATGACATCTTGCATTAGATGGACCATTCGTTCAACCCGGTTAAACAATATATTTGTTACAAGGCAATGACAAAGCATAGTACTTGCGTATTATGAAATGGAAATGTGCCCAATTTTAAAAAAGAGATCTTATCTCAATGATACTTCTGTTTGATAATTTCAAACTATCGGTAAATTCTTTTTGACAGCAGTGTAGGCTTACACTCCTTTTCTACGTTCGACTGCAACCAACATTCTTTATGCGACTTGTTAACTCTTCCGTCGACTATTACAAATAAAACTGATTTCATCATCTAATGGTCTAGGATTGGTTTACATTTTTTAAAAAAATATTCTTATTAGTTCTCATTCTCACACTGGGTTCATTTTATCGACGATTGTAGATCCTGGTTATTTTTTAAAAAAAAACTTTGAGTTTTGTAAAATGTTATTAGTTCTCATTCTCACACTGGGTTCATTTGATCGATTTTTTTATTGTGAAATGATAGAACTGAGCGACGGTGACAAAACAGTTTCGCGTAGGTATAGAAACCGAGTAGCTTTCCGTTGGGACATGATTTCATTGAAACATTGTATTGAGACACAGGTAGAGAATGCTGGAGGAGTTATTTCCCTTGTTAAGTTAGTTTCAACATTCAAAAGATTTCTCATAATATATTTATTTTGCGGCCAAGTAAACCACGCATGTATTATAAAGTCCATGGATAAACGAATGATGATACCCAATAATTTTGTACTATTAAGATTCTATTTTTAAAGAAGAGAAAATAACCCTATTCTAAGCACTTGCAGATTATTTCACGCCAACACAGATTGTCTTTTAAATGGTTCCATTTGTAATGACGGGTAACTGTAGGTATGTGTGATGAACACCAAACATTAACATTATTGTATATATTTCCCAAATACTATAGATGTTTGCAAAATGCTCTTATTTGTATTTTGCGTATTATGTGTGGCATCCATTGTTTTCTTTTTAGCAGCAGACACTGAATTGCAAAGTTCATTGAACTTTGTTATTTTCATATATAAAAGTAAAGTGAAACACGATTACATAGCTTAGTTTTAATTCCATAAAAATGAGTTAAATCAAGTCTTGGGTTAAGGTGGTGTAGTGATTAACACCAGTTAGATCCGTGCAGCTCAGACCCCCACAAGTTAATGTCTGTGGTGTTGAGGTTGTGTTAGAACATGGATATATTTACACAACACGAACGCAAGATCTGTGTTACCCAACACCAGGCCCGTAGCCAGCGGGGGGCAATTTGAAAAAAATGTTTTGCCCCCCCCCCCATCCCGAAAAAACAATTTGCCGACCATACCTCCATAATACCTACTGTAGAGTGTGCTGAGTGTGCCCCCCCCCCCCTAAAAACTTCACTGCCACTGCGCAGCCAGCAAGTTGGCTACGGGCCTGCCCAACACTAACTTATACTTGAGCCCCTAAGTTTGTCTATATTTTCATTATCAATTTTCCCGATTTACGAGAGATAAAGGGGGGGGGGGGGGCGGGTAACGTCCACTCGACACAAACTGGGTCATTTTGGGACTAACATATGGTTCAATTTTATTTCAATAATTTGCTTGCGCGTTTGGGTCTTTAGCAGTGGGATGAAACCGGAGAAAACCCATGAGGTTGGACAGGCGACACCCGATTTACGAAACAAATTTACATAAAAAAAATAATCAGACAAGGAGCTTTGTGCAATATTATTTCTAATTACATAAAACCTTGTTAGATAATAAACAATATTATCTTGTTAAGGGTTAAAATGATTTTTTTATTTTTATCCATATCTGGCAAAAACGTAAGACAAAGAAGTGTTGATTGCAGACCTGCTGATTTATGAGAAATTTCAGATAGGGAATTTGGACTGAATAATGATCAAATGAGACAACAAAAATTCAACATAGACCCTAGTTACTTAACTTCCTGGAAGCGGTTAGTTTTCCCCAATTACCTTTCTTTTGGTGTTTTTGTTTAGTTGGTAAGCTCATGCAAAAAATTGAATGTATTAGAACAGGGGACAAAAACGAAAGTTCAACATTTAAAAACAACACAGTGTTATATTTTTTTAAAAATTGTCCACCAGTGTTAACACTGCCACTGGTATAAAACTAGTTTAGACACTGGTGTATACACTAGTGCTAAATTAGGAGGCAATCTGATTAAAATACAGATCTATATTTCGTTTCGTTTTTTTATACTTTTGATGCCCAAGTGTAGGAAAGACAAGTAAAACGAAATTTTGAACTATAAAAAACGAAACGAAATAGGATTTGAGTTTTAATCAGATTGATTGCGAGGCTCATATAAGGCACTAAAATAAACACCAGTTATACACCGCAACCTTAATTACAAGCATAACCTGGGACTTGAATTGACCCATGTATCGTACTATGGCCTATGGCAAACGGTTGTGTGGACAGTATCCCTTTTTGCATTGGGAACCGGACCGCGCATTACCTTGTTAATAATAAGCCTGATAATTATTTTTTTGGGAAAGGCAACCATAATAAAGTGTCAACAGAGAAATGACAGACTCTAATATGACGATTGACTGAATAATTACAGAACATTTTTGGGGGGCGGAGAGATATAAGTTAATGTGAGGTAGAACAAATGTTATAAGACCTTGCTTTCCCATAACAGACATCTCCACTATAACAAGCCCTCAAAAACTTTTGCCTTGATTCAATATAAACCCCAATATAAAGTAATGTTAAGACTCTGTATTCCATTCGTAAGATTTGATGATGCTTAAAAAAAAATATATGTATTTTATTTTTAAAAATTTTATAAATGTGTTGTCCAAATCAGGTTACATTCTCAGTCCGTCAAAAAACATTTTTCTACCTTCTCTGTTCAGTTCATTAATTTATTGAGGCACATATCTGCTGGTGTAGGGTAAGGTAACAGAAAGCAACAGAAGTTGGCCATTTGTTTGTCTTAGGGTTAAGATAACAGAACGCAAAACAGTGAAGAAGTAAAATAACAAGAGCATCGCTAACGCTGCAATATACGTCCACATTCCAGCTTTGATTGATATGGTACTATTTAAAATGAAGAGAATGAAATATGAAATGGCTGTAATATGATCAGAGGCAAAGAAGGCTAGGCGTCGGGTTTGTTTTGCCAAATTTACAGACAAAATACTAACAATAAAGTGGGTGTGACACTGCCCCAAGAGGTCGGGGCAGGTATCAAAATAAATAGTTGCTGTCTTTATGGTATAAGGAATAAATATGCAAAGTTCCAAGATGATCCATTCAGAATTGCAGCCTGTAGACGATAAATACAAAAACTGGGCGTGGCTCTGCCCATGGGGGTTGGATATGGAAACAATATGAACAGGTACCATCCTGTTATTTAAATGGCAACATCAATAGTTGCCGTCCTTAGGGTATAAGGAATAAGTACACCAATTTCCAAGATAATCCATTCAGAATAGTGGCCTTTGGGCGTTAAAGGCAAAAATGGGCGTTGCTCTGCCCCTGGGCGTTGGGGCATTCACCAAAATCAATAGTTGATGCCCTTAGGCTATAAGGAATATATATGCCAAATACCAAGTTGATCCATCCAGAATTCGGGCCTGTAAACGATAAACATAAAAATTGGGCGTGGCTCTGCCCCTGGGGGTCGTGACATGCAGTTGTCGTCCTTAGGCTATAAGGAAAACATATCCCAAGTTCAAAGACAATCCAATAAGAATCGTGGCCTGTAGGCAACTCACAGAAACACAAAGAAAAAATAGGTGTGGCTCTGCTCCTGGGGGTTGGGCAATCACCAAAAAAATAGAGGTCAGCCTTAGGGTATAACGTATAAGTATAAAAAAGTTTTCAAGATGATCGATTAAACATTGCAGGCTGTAAGTGACATACAGACACACAAAAAGAAAATGGGTGCGGCTCTGTCCCTGGGGGCTGGGCATTCACCACAAACAATAGGGATGTTCCTTAGGATAGAAGGAGTAAGCATGCAAAGTTTCAAGGTGATACGTTACGAAATGCGGTCTGTAGATAACAAACAATGAATACAAGAAATGGGCGTGGCTCTGCCACTGGGGGTCGGGCATGCACCAAGAACAATAGGGATCATCCTTAGGGGAATTCATATGAAATTTTTTCAAGACAATCCATTAAGAATTGTGGCCTGTAGGCAACACACAGACACACGAAGAGAAATGGGCGTGGCTCTGCCCCTGGGGGTTGGGCATTCACCCCAAACGATAGGGGTGTTCCTTAGGGTACAAAGAATAAGTATGCAAAATTTCAATATAATGCGTTAAGAAATGCGGCCTGTAGACGACAAACAAACAAATACAAGAAATGGGCGTGGCTCTGCCCCTGGGGATCGGGCATGCATAAAAAACAACAGGGTATAAGGAATAAGTATGTAAAGATTCAAGATGATAACGTAAGAATTGTGGCCTGTAGGCGACACACAGACACACAAAACGAAAATGGGCGTGGCTCTGCCCCTGGGGGTTGGGCATGCACCCCAAACGATAGGGATGTTCCTTAGGGTACAAAGAATAAGTATGCAAAGTTTCAATATGATACGTTTAGAAATGGGGCCTGTAGACGACAAACAAAGAAATACAAAAAATGGGCGTGGCTCTGCCCCTGGGGGTCGGGCATGCACCAAAAACAATAGGGATCTTCCTTGGGGTATAAGGAATAAGTATACCAAGTTTGAAGAAAATCCAGTAAGAATTGCGCCCTGTAGGCGACACAAAGACACACGAAAAGAAAATGGGCGTGGCTCTGCCCCTGGGGGTTGGGCATGCACCCCAAACGATAGGGATGTTCCTTAGGGTACAAAGAATGTGTATGCAAAGTTTCAAGATTATTAGTTAAGAAATGTGGCCTGTAGACGACAAACAAACAAATACTAGAAATGGGCGTGGCTCTGCCCCGGGGGGTCGGGCATGCACCAAAAACAATAGGGATCTTCCTTGGGGTATAAGGAATAAGTATACCAAGTTTGAAGAAAATCCATGAAGAATTGCGCCCTGTAGGCGAACCACAGACACACACACACACACACACACACACACACATACATACATACATACACACACACACACACACAGACAGGGGCGACGGCATAATACGTTCACATTATGAATGTGGACGTATAAAAAGGAACAAACAAAATGAAATATATATTTTAAATTTGAATAACTTTTATTTTCCAGGTACTATACAGCACTTGTATTTCTATAATCATGCACTAAAATGATGTGCAAACAATTTTTACCTTCTTCAACAACTTATTTTGGTATCTTTTAACAAATTTAATATGGTTATCAAGCAATGATTTATTTGATTTAATCTACAATTTAAATAGTGATTATATTTTATACCAACAAAGGATTATTCAGATAAAAGTCTCAACAGTTGAAATAGTTATCAGTACCGGTAACACCATTGTTACCAGATTCATTAAAGAGATTAATAAGATAAAAGTTTTCATATGTTTAATTGTCAGCATTTTCATCATCCTCATCAAATTCACTATCCTCATCACTACCTGATTCTTCATCATCTGATTCAAATGTATTATCAGGAATGTCATATATTCGTATAACGGGTCGGTTAGGATCTTTCATAATGAGGTATTTTCCTTCTTTTAATCTTAGACAGGTATCAATAATGCATCGAAGAACTCCCCAAGCATTTTCCATATTTAAATTCATCTGGCTAGCGAACTCAATGGGTTTAAACTGTTGAGTTCCCAGTATGACATGTTTAGAAGAATCTTTGACATGAACTCTGGAGACGTAGCCTAATTTGATTTGGTCAGAACCTGCCAACAAAGCACCAACTGTCCACTTGGCCATCTTACAGCTATTATTCTTTAATTCTGTTGCCAATACAGCACCTCGCTGATTATCAAGTCGGGATCTCCATTCCACTCCACCGGAAGATCTACTATCCCATTCATTCAGTGCTTTTATATTAATAAACTGTAATTCTCCATTAGGCCCATGCATGACAGCATCGTGTTCACATCTTGCAACCAGTTCAATATCATTTCCTAATTTCCATTTTCTGTACCTGTATCCTACAGAAGCAACAGTTGAGGCTTCTTCATTTTGTATAAATGGATTTGGTTTTTCAAAATCATATGTTTCTTCACCCTGCCTCAGGACTTGCTGAGAGAAATTATGGTTAATAAAGGTTGCTTCCAAAGCCAGGTTGTGCGGGGAGTTAAAACTAACAGCTTCATCTTGTGGGGGTTCTGTAGCTGTTTCACTGACGGTTAATAAATTAAATTCTGATGTGTCGCGTTTATCGAAAAAGAGTTTATTGCCAACCCTTTGCACCAGGATATCCCAGGAATATACAGATCGTGTACAGCACATCAAGGTGGCAAGGATAGCATCTGTGGCAAAAACATTTGCTTTCCCCTTAACCAACTGCCTAATGATGGGATCATCTGTTGTTGTAACTTTATGAAAAATACGATTCACACGTTTTAACCTCTTCTCGCTTTTTGTTGTTACTCGATCATAACTCTTCTCATAGAATTCCATAGCCCCACAAGTAACAAGATCCACAGGGGGGTCGATATTAGGTAGACTAAGTTTGGTAAGACGAGGAAAATCCATCTCTTCTACAACATCCCATTCCTTCTCTACTTGAACTGATGAATCACGGCTTTTCGCAGGGGCAGCCTTATGTCGGTTCTCCATTTGTTGCTTTCCAAACTGTTTCTGCCACTTTTTCAATAGACGCTGTCGATCCCGCTCTCTGTTCTTCATTGTCTTCGACATAGATCGAAGCTGAGCTTGCGTAGCTGCTTGTTTACGTTCTCTTTCCTTCCTTTGCTTACTCTGTTGAAACATCCGTCGACCACGTTGATACAAAGGTTTTGGTATTTTGGCAGTATCAACTAAATGGAAGGAGCTCTCGTCTTCGTCGTGATAATAAGCATACTGCTGACCGCCTCCATATGCCGAGTAATATTTACCTAGGTATCTTTTATCCTGATACGTTGCACCGGTCCAATCGGAAACCTTTCCTAATCTGACATCTTTTGAAAAAGGTTGATATGGCATGTCTTTGAACTGCTCTGGAATTGAACAGGGACCCCATCCATTAGGGTTTTCTTGTATTTTAGGGGGATTAAAATGTGCCATATTTTCAATGTTTCTTGGAACACGTGACACTGTTCTAGCGGCAGAGATTACAGTGTCGAGGCAAATTAAATAACCCATTATATTTTTTCTAACAAAATCTATGTTCGTGTAATATACCCACCATGTTAAATACTTTATTGACATATAATTTAGATTTTTAATATTAAGGTATTCTATTTTCAATAATTACAACTAACCACGTTAACATTCTTTTTCACTGCCGCAACGCTAATGGTCCAACACCAATGTTTGGACGGCTAGATCTACTTATTAAGGCCAACTCAATTTTCGTCAAGGTCGCTGAGATGTGAATAAGGTTAGGACATGTGACATGTTGGCGAGATTGTAGGTTAGGGTAAGGGTAAGCGTTATGGTCAGACCAACGGTTAGGGTTAAGGTTGTTATTAGCGTTAGCCCTGTTTACATCTCGTGACCTCTAACCAAAGCTGGGGGGTCACGGTGGCTAAGTGGGTTAAGACGCTGGCTTCCTAGCCTGGAGCCGTGTTCGATCCCTGCATTGACCGAGAAAGTTCATCCAGATTTCCCGGCGTGGTTCCCCGTTGTCAGTGATGCAGGACGGAGGGCCTGACACGGACAGCTGTCTAGTCGTTCTGATGGGACGAAAAACCTATCGTGTAAAAGATCCCTTGGCAGTTTGAATTTGATATAAAAGTAGGCCGTAGTGCCGCCGTTCGTGCAAAATTTCCCTCATAGCACACTACTGCATGGCGTATGCCCGTTTTCATTAGCCCAGTTCGGAGCAGAACAGTAGGACGTTAATTCCCATTTCATTTCATTTCAAATCCCATTTCATTTCATTTCTAACCAAACCTGAAGTTGACCTTATCAAATAGTACACCGGAAGTTATTTTCCAGGATAACAGGAAGTAGGTAGATATTTTTGTTGTGACAAAAACTTCAAACAACTAAGACATTTTATGTTATGCATAGTAGTTCGCAGCGATGTCAACAGTTTTTCAATAGACCCAGGAATCTTTCTGCGAATAGGAGGCAGAATACAATTACTACTGGTGCGACACTTTGGATTAATTTGGTAGTAAATGGGTCTTAGCTGACGGTGCAGATAAAAACTGGTTTTACGATCATGTGATTATGATGAATGAATGTGACAAGTGCTTATTTACTTCTTACGTCAAAATTTTCACAAAAATGTTTATTGCTTAGATTGTGACACTTCTAGTCCAGGTGTTTCATGTTTTATTTTTGTTGGCTTGATGCTGGATAATATGTAGCAGGCATTGCCTGAGTAGAGCGAAGCTGATTATTGTCAAATATAAAACCTTCATAATTAATTTTCTCAAGTGATACAAAAAATGTTAAATAATTTAGTTTTTCCAAATTGATTTTCATTTAGATCTAAATTGTATACCGGTACATTAATTTTGTTTTTTAAAAAAGAACAAAAAAGTGTGAGAATTATTTTCATTGACGTCAAAAATATGTGACGTCATTGATTAGACGCGTCATAGAAATAGTTCTATGAGGCGCGTAATCTCGCTTGGGCGAGATTTGGTAAGTTGACATGCGCATTGCCTGTTTTGCTCTGTGTATCCGGTTCCGGTCTGTGGGTGACAATTTCAGTTACGTTCCTGTGTTACCGGAAAAGAGCTTTGCTCAAGCACCGCGCTTCGTGCGATGCTGTAGAGCTTCGCACTATATTAGAGGTTTGTTGGTGTAGGCAGTACATGAGTATGCAACAAATCATCAGGAATGGTGGCATTTAAAAAAATTTAAGTCGTAAGTCTCAAGACTCCTCTGTGATGAACTATTCACAGACAAAGTCCTATGATGACCCTTCCTGACCATCCTTATTATGTTGCAATATGAAATTTATGGAAATACTGCTCTGGTCACACTTTACCATCTATTTTCTTTACTGTGATTATTCTTTTTTTTTTTTTGCTTAAAGGAATAATTTCTCAACATACCTGACACAAATTTTTAATAATCCAACACTATTTTGAATTGGAATTTTGTGTGTATATAAATATATATATATATATATATATATATATATATATATTCCACATATTTTACAGGTCAATAGATTTACCCAAAACAACTTTAAAAAACTTGAGCTGACGTATTTGGAGAACTGTGTAAACAATTTTTGTTCCGTAAAAACCCATATCACTGGACACATTTGTGGGTGGTGCAGCTCCCCTCGGCCACATGTCTAATACACATATTATTATGGATAAAGTTTTATGTTATTATGGTCATTTGATTTGTCAATGGATGGAACTTTATACATGTATGTCTACTCATGATCCGTCCATTTAATTCAGAATTATTTTCTTTTTGTCAGGTTGATTGTATTTTCAGCATTAGTAAATTGTTCTAAAACGTAAAGTTTGTGACCCTCAAGTCAACTTAGAATTACAACACTGTAATGTTCTTTAACAGTTCTTAAACTGTCGTCTACCTTTGATTGCCAAATTGTTTGGCCACCCTCATGATTGTGAAGTGTAGCCTGTCTTAATTATCAGCAAAGAAGATGAGAAATACATACGAGGACACGGACATTGAAAGACCATTATTTGGTGAACCTAGGCGAGTGGATCGAGTACTAAATCTAATTGTAGGAACAGTTACTTCCATTATTGTTTTAATAACTCTTGTAAGTGCATTCGCCTTTCCAAATTGGAAACCAAATGGTGTAAATGTATTTTTTGCTTGTGTTATAGTTTTAATCTGTGCTTCTCATCTGTTGTTGATATTTTGGTATCGACAAGGCGAATTGGAGCCTAGATTTAGATCAATGATATACTATAATGCTTTTACCATTATATTGTTGTGTGTTTGTGGTAATTTGTATATTCATAATGTAGCAAACCTTTCATAACCCTGTTATACTTTGGCTTTCCTATTCAAATGAAGTGATGGGGAAATACTCATAATGACATTCGATATTTTGATAGTTTTGTATATATTGTATTTTTACACAGTGTGTGATTGAAGCTTTATTTGATTAAAATCCTAGGTTAGAGGGACATTGTCCAGAATCTTTTATCTTAAATTAAGAAAACTGACTAACTATATTATGTATATGTGTATATATATATATATATATATATATATATATCATTTATTATCTGATATTGCACAAGCTTGACAGAACCTGAAATTAGTGCATTGCTTCTTTTCATTGTTTTAAAGTAAATAAAACCTATTCATTGTGGTTGCTGTATGTTATTCTAAAGGCTCTTTATTAGAATTATGGATTAAAGAGAGGGGGGGATTTCAGAACGTGTTCTCAAACCATTGTTCAAAGCACTTGAAATTCTGGTACTGAGCCCCCAAAATAAATTAGTATTATTCAGTGTTTTCAACTGCAGTGAGTTTATAAATGTAAATATATTGTTTATAATGAATGCATATTATTATAAATAAATATGTAAAGTATTATTCCACTGAATAGTATTCCATGTTATGTATTATATGACATCCTGTTTTGTTTTGTATGATATTCAAAATATCAATAAAAGATCAATCTCTTGTAACTTGTATATATTTATGTGTATTGTTGTTTTAGTGACTTCATACTTTATGATTTGTTTGCGTTTGACATATTTGATTCATTTAGTATCAAGTCAAACTGTAAAAGGAAAGGCTGTTTGATATTACACGTAAATGTCTATATAAGTTAGCGGCAAATCTAAAAAATTAAAACAGCATTAGTTACAAAAATATTAAACTGTGAATAAATATGACCTGGTCTTTGTTACCTATTTCAAGATGCATTATGTAAGATTTAGATAAAAGAGCTGAACGTTCTTGCTATAATAGTTCAAAATAGATAATGAAAAATTTCATTCAAATTACTTTATTCTGAGCGCAATTATGATATAGTGTAGATCATTTATTATCGTAGCAACCGTACTTGGCAAATGAGACTTCGCCCTGATTATCCATTTTATTGTTTAATTTTAAAACTTCGCCATGGATTAAATCCATTTATATCTTTGCCATCTGGTGCTCTAGAGAGTTGATTATAGGCTTGTCATGTTAATAAATGTCTAAATAATAATTAATATAATATTTGAATCCAAAAGAAAGACATGCAATAGGCAGATTTAGCTCTTACATACTATTACTGACAAATTATTATGTTATTTATTTGTTAATGTTTCTTTCAATGATTAATTTTATAATATAGATATAATATAGATAGTAGAATCTTGGTAAAATAGAAATTTAATAAAAATACAGTTTACCAGTATTTAGATTTATGTGGAATTTTATTTTTATATATCAAATATAACAGATTGTAAAACTGAGTAATAAGAAGTTACTTTAATTTATCAAATAAAGTCCTATTTGTAGTTTTACAGATTCATGTATTTTAGAGAAACAAAATGTATATCTAACTAAACTGTGTTATTTATTTTGTTGGTGGTAGACCTACATAAGTATTATGGTATTTGTTTATTTGTCTATTTATTATAGAATTATTCAAACATATTGATATTTTCTTTCTATTATGTGATCATTATGGATTTTGTTATTGTTTATTATGTGAAAATGATTTAGTTATGGGAAATCCTACATCAAGTTTAAAACAAAAAAAAGTATGAAAAAAGTTTTTAAAAATACCTGCAATTCAACTTTTGTATCTTATAAAAATCTTAGTTCACCTTAAATTGACATTATGGAAGATTAGATAAAGAGCTGACATTTCTCACTATAATAGTTAAAAAATAGATAATGTAAAGAGAATATGAAGAAAGGTTCAGTACAATTACTTCACTCTGTGCTGAGAACAATGAATTTCAAAAATACTGTAGCCTCGATTGTCATTATTACCATTGTTACGATAATAAACAAAGTCTTGATTATCCATTTTTAGGGTTAATCATAAACAGCCGTTGAATCGCACATCAGATTCAAATCTGTTTAAAATCGTACCCATCAGATGGCACCGTAGATGATTATTGTCTTGTCATGTTAATAAATGTCTATTTAATAGTTTACATAATATTTAAAGGACAATATTGGTGCCAGTCATTATCATATATGTGATAGA